CTGGCCCCGACAGCGGTCCTGACTGCGAGCGCGTTGCGCGGCTGGAGGAGGAGAATAGCAGCTTGCGCGAGTTGGTGGAGGACCTGCGCGCTGCGCTGCAGAGCAGTGATGCGCGCTGCCTAGCACTGCAGGTGCGCGCTGGCCGCGGAGGGAGGGTGGTAACGCCTGGGAGAGGGCTCGAACTAAAAGCTGGCTGGCTGCGGAGCCCGACGGGACAGAGGCAGAGGAAGGGTAGACAGACGGCAGCCCTACACCATCCCACCCCGCCTCAGCCCACTTGCATCCTGTCCCTGTTCCTCCCCATTCCACTCCAGTCCCCAACCCTATTCTTACCATCTGTTCCATTCCTGAAAACCCCAGTCACATTCAGACAACCATACCCCACTTTTCTGCTCCACCCCCGCATCATCGCGTCTTGCCCCTTCTAACCCAGGAATTGCACTTGTCTGGGTAGTCTCACACATTCCCTTTCAACAAGCATCTTTCTCTCTCCTTCCTGCCAGGCTTCTGGGAGGTTTAGGAGACAGAAGTGTGAAGAAGGCCCTAACCTCACCTTTAAGGATCTCCCTGCCTCCTGGAGTAGACTGACAGCTCCTTCTGTCAATCAGCAACGACTTACGGGGCTCCCTGCGGGAGAAACAGACAAGTGAGAAATAGACAGGGTGGCTCACACTATGGATCAGGCACTCATGGGCCACCAAATGCCTGTGGGAACCAGACCCGCTCTGGGCTATTGAGAAGAAACCATGGGGTGAGATGGGGACCCAGCCTTAGCATCTGGGAGCCGTCGACAAACACTTAAGCACTGTGCCAGCTGTGCGCCAAAGGCAGTGCTGGGCCGCAGGGGTCAGAGGAGGAAAGGAACAGCCCCTACCCCAGGCGACAACAGGCCAGGAAGAAAATGACGTTATATGACCCCGCTTTAGCTCAGGACACTGCAGAGTGCAGGAAAGTGGCAAGGTGTGGTTTTCAGTGTTGGTGTGCATGGAAGCCAGGGTGGAGGCGGGAAAGTACTCCTCTGATGTGGAATCCCAAGTAATGTACGGGGAGCCATGGGATGCGCCTGAAAGGTCTTCCAGCATCGCTCATGCTCGGGTATTTATTGAGCACCTACTATGTGCCAGGTTTGTTTTAGGCTCTGGGAACACACCAGTAAAGACAGACAGAAACCGCCCTCAAGGAGCCTCTAGTGAGCAGGTACGGGGAGGGCTGCAAGTGCCACCGGGGGGAGTCTAGGAGATGAGGAACTACCACCCGGCAGGCTGAACGCCGCCAACACAGGAGTAGACCGAGACGAGGTGCGAGGTTGAAGAATCATTGGTACCACAGAGGGAACAGAATACTGGCGTCGTGTCTCAGTTTCCTTCATCAGTAAAAAAACGCTGGAGGGTTGCGGGGGCGGGCGAGGAGGAATCATTAGAGCTCCCGCCTCCCTAGGGATGTGGCGAGGGTTAAAGGAGCCCGGACGCACGGGACCTAAGGGCCTGGCACCTGGAAGCAGGCGGCGCCATAAACGTGCTCACGCGCTTCTGGGTGCGGAGGAATGGGGACCGCCGTTGTGGCGGGCGTTCGTCTGGTGCATGTGGCTGGGGCACTTACCCCCTGCCCCTGCTGCCGTGTCCCCGCAGGTCGGGCTCTGGAAGAGCCAGGCGAGCACCCACGAGATGGAGCGCGGCGGACCGGAGGCTGCGGTGCGGGAACTGCGGCAGGCACAAGGCGCGCTGGCTGCGGCGGAGGCCCGCGCTGGGCGGCTGCGCCGTGGCCAGGCCGAGGTGCGGCGGCGCGCGGAGGAGGCCCGGCAGGTGGTGCTGCGCAGCCTGCACCGCGTGCGAGAGCTGGAGGCGCTGGCGCGACAGGTGCCCGGCTTGCAGCGCTGGGTGCGGCGGCTGGAGGCGGAGCTGCAACGCTACAGGTGAGCAGGGGCGCGGGCCCTGGGCCCAAGTGCCCCAATTCGGCTCCCATTTTCCCAGACTTCGGGTGTGCAAACCCCCTCCCACACGCTCTCGTGTTCCCCAGTTTCTCCATGCATTTATTCACGTGTTCTTTCATTTCTTTGTCAGTTCTCCATTTCTTAAGTCATAAGTCTATTCCATTGCTTACTCTGCATCCATCTGCCCACTCATCCATTCATCCATCTGTCCATCCACTCACCCACCCCACTCACCCATCCACCCATCCATCCATTTGTCCATCCACTCACCCACCCCACCCACCTATCCATCCACTCACTCGTCCATCCACTCACCCATTCACCCATCCACCCATCCACTCACCGACCCACCATCTATCCACCTACCCATCATCCATCTATTCATCCATCCATCCACTCACCCACCCACCCATCCATCATCCATCCATCCCCCCACCCACCCACGCATCCATCATCCATCCTTCCCCCTACCCACCCACCCAGCCAGCCGTCCATCCATCCTCCTGTTTACCCACAAACACCCTCTATTTGTTTATCATATCATGGATTGCAGTTGAATGTGCTTATTCTTATTTGTTCCTGGATTCGATCATAATGATAATAGCTTACAGTTACTAAGCACTTGCTGTGTGCCAGGCCTTGAGCTAAGTACTTTATGTGGCTTAACTCATTTTAAGCCTCACAGCTGCCCTGTGAGGTGGGTACTGCTGTGTTTCCACTCTGTAGATGAGGAAACAGGTGTATAATGACTGCCTGTGCTAGCTCCACCAGGGCAGGAAGCTGGACTTGGGGCCCAGATTCAAATCTTGGCAGGACTTTTGGCAGATGTGTGAGTGTGGGCAAGTCACCACCCCTCGAAGACCCTGCTTCCTCTTGGGTAGAATACAGATTGGGGTCCCTGCCTGCAGGAGTGGCTGTGAAGAGGCCATGGGCTCCTGCCTGGCACATGGTAGATGCTTGGTAGACAGAGCCTCTCTCCCTTTCAAATCACAAGGCACCCCTGCCTGCTGGCTGGCCTGACTACACATTTGCTGAGCATTTTCTCTGTGCCAGGGGCCATCCCAGGCATCAGGGATGTGACCGTGTGACTAGGACAGACTGAATTCCCTGCCCTGAGCAGCCACCTGTGAGCAGATAAGACCTTCACAGGAACAGATGTGTGCAGCAGGCAGGATGTGGAGGACACTCATCAGCCTGCCCCCAAAGAAGTGACACTTGAGGGTAGGATGTTACTGGGCCAGATGGAAAGAGGAGAAGAGAGAACATTCTAGAAAATGGGAACAGTACAGGCAAAGCCCTAGGGCAGAAGGGGCCTTAGCACCATTCAAAAACTAAAAGGAAGCCAGAGTGGCTGGAGGGGTGGAGCTGGAGGTAGACCCATTTAGGGCCTGGAAGGTGGCAGCAAGGACTTCAGTTTTTCCCTTAAGAGAAAGAACATGAAACCATGGGAAAGTTTTAAGCAAGGAGGTGACAGAAGCAGATTTACATTTCAATAAAAAGTTACCCTGGCTACAGTGTGACAAAGAGATGGGCAGACAGGGAGAGCAGAAGATAGTGCGGAGCCCAGTGAGGGGCTCCTGCCATCCTGGTCCTGAGAGGAAGGTGGTCTGGCCCAGGCTGGGGGTGGGGCAGGCAGAAGGGATGGCCTTGAACCTACTGGACATCTGAGGAGCTCACAACTGGGAGATGGGAAGGCATGGGGCTAGAAGGAGGCCTCCAAAGAGGCAGACTCTGGGCCAGCCTCCTGCAGCGTGCAGTGTTTGGAGAGCCACTTCCTGTTTGCATAGCTGATGGCTAAAGAGCAGGGCTGGTTGGCTTGAGGCCCACATCCAGCCTTGGAACTTTATCCAAGAGGAGAAATAAAGGGGCTCTTCTTTGTTTATTTCTAAAGTCACAACTAGTCCTCTATAGCAGAATGCTACAAGTGACTACAAACATTGGCATAGCCCTTTACAACAGAAAAAGTGGATTCATAGCCAATGCACCATTTAGTCCCCATAAGATTGTTCAAGGTAGGCATTTTATCCCCAGTTTACACATTGTGAGAAATGAGGCACTGAGAAGTTAAGTAACATACCCAAGGCCACACAGCCACAAAGCAGAAAAGTCAAAGCACTTTTCCCCCACTGCCTGTGTGCTTTGATTCACAGTTACACGATGGCTGCTGTGCCTCCAGACCTTCTATCTGCTGATTGGGCATAAGAAGAAACCTGGAAGGGCTGGTCCTGTTAGTCAGTCTCAAACAAAACTGGGGTTCTATTTTTTGTTCGTTTGTTTTTTGAGACAGAGTCTTGCTCTGTCACCCAGGCTTTTTCGCAATGGCGCAATCTTGGCTCACTGCAATCTCTGCCTCCCAGGTTCAAAAGATTCTCCTGCCTCAGCCTCCCCATAGCTGGGATTACAGACGTATGCAACCACGCCTGGGTAATTTTTGTATTTTTAGTAGAGACGGGGTTTCACCATGTTGGCCAGGCTGGTCTCAAACTCCTGACCTCAGGTGATCTACCCGCCTCGGCCTCCCAAAGTGCTGGATTATAGGCGTGAGCCACTGCGCCCAGCCAAAAGTGGATTCTTTTAGTAAGGAAGAAGGAGGAGCAGCTATTGCAGAGGCTTTGAAGGAAACACCTAGTGATGAGGAGATTGAGGACCAGAGAGCGAGTAACGCTATGTGAAGGGCACACAGTGATTAGGCAGATGATTGTGTCACTCATTTCTCTGCCCCTCTAGAAATATGCTTTCAACCCTACCTTGCCCAGGAGGTTGACCACCTCTGCCCATTTTCTATGGTCAGAGTTTGCTGGTTTATGGACTGACCTGCCCCAAAGCTCTCACTCTGAGAAGAAGGAAAAGGAGAGGAGACAGAATAGCCATGGGCATTTATTGAGCATCAGCTGCGTACCAGGCACTTTTTCATGGGAGCTCATGGGGCCTCTGAACTACTCTAAAAGAAAAGTGTTATTGTCAGCATTTCACAGACGAGAAAACCAAGACCAGGGAGGAAGCAGCTGTCCAGTGTGGCACAGCAACTTAGTGGCAAGGGCAGGACTCACAGCCCAGCCTGATGGCCCCAAGCCACAAGCTCGAGTTGGGTTTGGTAATATGCACAAGTCCCCCTGGATTCTCCTACCCCAGAAACATCGGTCAGACATTTTACTGGCTGGGGAGGGACTGTGGGCTACAATTCACCTCTACTTTTGCTTTTCTCTTTCTTTCTTTTCCCTCCCCTCCCCTTCCCTTCCCTCCCCTCCCCTCCCCCCCTCCCTCCTCCCTCCTTCCCCTCCCCTCCCCTCCCTTCCCTTCCCTTCCCTTCCTTTCTCTTTTGAGATGGAGTCTCGCCTGTCACCCAGGCTGGAGTGCAGTGGCACAATCTCAGCTCACTGCAACCTCCGCCTCCCAAGTTCAAGCCATTCTTTTGCCTCTGGCTAATTTTTGTATTTTTAATAGAAACGGGGTTTCACCATGTTGACCAGGCTGGTCTTGAACTGCTGACCTTGTGATTCGCCCACCTCGGCCCCCCAAAGTGCTGGGATTACAGGCGTGAGCCAGCGCACCCAGCCTGCTTTTGCTTTTCAAGTGCCAGAAACTCAGATGTCCCTGACTATTGCGCTGAATCAACCCCCTCCTCTGCAGCTGGCCTAGGGGGCTGCAGTCTAGAGGAATTACAGGGAGGAAAGGGCCCCATGCCCCAAACAGCAGAGCCCCATCACACCCTCTTAAGTGACATCACTCTGGAATGTCTCCAGGTGCTCTGCAGATGTGTCTTTGGGGGGAAAACAGAGCAATGACTGAACTCCCCCTGAGAATGGCAGCTTGAAGCCATTTGGTTAGAATAAATGACCCAACTCACACTTTTCCAGCATCTCCCAGTGTTCAAAGCACTTTCACAGAGACCGACTCACTCCGATCTTCTCATCTTCCCTCTGAGGTTGGTATTATGTCATATGTTTCAAATGAGGAAATAGACCCTTGGAGTTGGGAGTGGGTTTACTAAAGTCACATACCTGAACTCAGCTGAATTCAGACTGCGTTGAGTTTCCTAACTTTGAGTCAAACTCTGCCACTTTCCTAAAATGGGATCTCGATGACTCTATTGTTCATGTTAGGGCTTCTATTGAGTTCTTTTTCAGACCTGTACTTTTTTTTTCATCCTTATCAGTCCTTGTGTTGTGGGTTCTGTCTAATCCTTTATCTCTGTAGCATTCAACCATATTAATTTTACAGTCTCTTTTGGATTGCTGTAATATCTGAGCTTCCTGAGATGTTTTACACCTGCTGTCTTTGTCATGATGAGGCATTCTTGGAAGGCACTGTCATTTTGGGCTGTGAGCCCATCTTTGGCAGGGCCATGATCCTTGAGAGTCACACATAGAACCGGTTGTAGAGTTCCCTTCAGAGCAGTTCTCCATTTGCCTCCACTAGGCCCTGATTCTAGACCAGTTTTTAATTGTGATTCTTAGCTTGGAGTTGCCTAGCTACACAGGTAGTGAGAGATTGAGTCCCATACCTGGGAACAAAACCCCAAGGCCAATAGGTGGAATATTTTTCATCTTTGTTTATGGATAAGACAGCCCTTGCTGGCCCCTGGCCTCATGCAGGGAGTCTCCTTCTGTAACTCACTACGCAAGGTCTCCTGTCCCTAATCCCTCCATGGGCATTTCAACTCCATCTCCTGCTTTCCACACAAGCTGGAGATCTCCTCTTCTTGATTTTGACTTTGGCTCTATACCCTTTTAAATAGTTCTATTTTATGCAGCATTTCAGCATATTCGTAGATGGAAGAGGGGCTTCCCATAGCACCTCAATCCACCATCTTGACCAGCAGCCTAAGAGGATGGACAGTAAATATGTAAGCAATTGGAGATATTTATTTAATTCATTCAACAGTATTTTCTAAGCAACTTCTGTGGACCAATCCCCATGCCAGAATCCTTGGGTACACAGAAATGGCAGTAGACATGTTAGGGCACAGGTGTGCCATGTGC